TGATCTTGCTATGAATCCCCTACACCCCACTTCCACTGGACAAATCCTAGTCTTCCATCCTCGCTGCTCAGCTTCTGCTCCTAAGTCTGCATATCTAAGCTTTTTTCTTTCATAGGCTTCTTCCACTGAGTCTTCCCAAGGAACTGTCAGCTCAATGAAATAAACTATCCGTTGACTCACTGACCACAACACTATGTCAGGCCTCTGCCTGGTACAAACTATTTCCTGGGGAACAACAAGCTTTCCCCCTAAATCTACTTGCATTTCCCAATCACAAGCACCTTCTAGGTGGCCACACCCATGCCTCCTCACTAACTTATCCCTTCTGTATTTCTCTCCCTCCCTCAGAATTGATCAGTGACAGAACTAAAAAAATGATCAATTTTGGATGATTGGTCAGGTGTGAACAACCTCCATGTCAAGGAGGTTAAAAAGAGAAGTCATGGCGTCATATTGCATCAGATCATTGGGGGACAACACGTTTATTTAAAGTCTTGTCTTCGCTTGCTGAACAGCTCAATAGCTCAGTAGCACACTATCATAAAACATGGGGATGATTGATTAATTTACTGTACAAGTTTAATTAAAAGCCTAGTCCCAGTTAAAGCTACTCTTACCTTTCTTACATTTCACACAGCACTTAGAAAAAATTTGAACATCCACAACTCCCGCCTCCCTCCAAAGTCCCATCCCCCTCCTCCTGCAACTCCACCTCCCTCCAAAGGCCTACTCCCCTCCTCCATTACGCCCTCATTATGTCTATGGCAAGGTAACGTTAGATACACAGAAGAGGAGAGTGAGTGTAACATGCCAAGAGAAGAGTCGAAGAGAAGAGGAGTCATATATAATGTTATAGCCTATGTTACATTAGAGGCAAACTAAAAATACCTGTCCAGCAGAAACTCTACGACCGTCTTGTCCCTTTTTAACTCATGTGGCAGATTGAGCTCCCCCCCCTCTCCTTTCTTCCATTTCACTCAACGGGCAGCAGACTGCATTCAATCAGCCATCAGCGCTGATTGCAGGGCAGTGCCACCCACCTTTATATCTAGGCAAGGCAATACTGCTCTGGTTCCTCTTCCTAACCTCCAGAGTCTGGCGTCTGTGCAGTCTGGTGTGGCTGGTGTGCCTCCCGAGGCTTTTTGGTGTGTTAGTCCTGCTGTAAGCATAAGGTAGGCTCTCATAATATTCCTGGTGCCGCACATTTACTGCGTGCGTAATTGGTATTATACCTGCCAGTTTCCTCGCTCTGCAGTGTGGCTGTCTCTCCCTCCCTTGGCGTCTTGAGTGCAGACCGGAGTTATGGTCTCCTGCTTCGAGTTTGTTACGCCACTCGGTGTTGAGGTAGGCTGGTTCGAATTAGTTTTAAGTTGTGACCTGTCTCTGCCTGGTCTTCACCTGAATAAACTGTCTTTTTCCATGGTTTCTGGTCAGCAGTTGGTAGAGTGCGCAACGGCCGTGCGTCCTCCCCTCCTCTCCGCTTCACTGTTGGAAACCGCCCTCTGCCGGTGTTATGTATATTTGAGTTCATACTACTGTTGATTTCAGCATAATTTCAAATGGGTAATGTTTGTTTTTTTATGGTATTTACATTGCAGGCCCTTAAAGGCCAGGCTGTGTGCCATGGTGTAGTGCCTCCTGTTTTTTTTTTACAAGCCATCAGTCTCCACCTCCTGGCGCTTGCTGCTGTTCTGTCTTTATTGTGGTAAATCTCCATAAAGGATCCCTGTTATTTATATCATAAATCAATGACACTGCAATGGAGCTGATAAGAACACTGAAAAATACAACATTAAAAACAACATTAGGAGGCATAGTACAGTATAAGGGAGTATTTCTTGCTATTGTGGCTTCACAGCAAACCGGAAAAAAAAAATGACATGGCAGCTCTGACAATCATTAGTGTACTTTTGTATTTGTAAATGATTTCAGTTTTGCTTGTTCAGTAATATTATCAGCCAGGGAGGAATATAATTTATGGTCAGTTTTTGGAGCAAATTGATTTCAATGAGTGCACTCCCTCTCCGCCTTGATTTTGAAGATCATTCATGAGTGGTAAAAAACTAGGAGCATAGAGACAACACAGAGAGGATTTTGTTTTGAGACCCACCGTAGACCCATATTTGTCTTTTTTTAGAGGGGGCAGGGGATCTTTCAGAGGAGATAGCCAGTCAACAGTATATGCCACATGGAAGTGGTACTGTATACATCACCTGAAAGCTGGGAATCTGAAGAAATATTTTACATAGTGCAGCTTGTTACTATGTCACGTTTTTCTAATCATAAATATCTAACAAACTTTGTGCTATTCAAACTGAAAGTGTAGAATATATAGGGACTTACAACATTATGATGGAAGTATATGTTGGCCATTTCCAGTGCTCAGTTGTCTCTCTATGTTGCTGCAGCAATTTTGGAGCTAGTACCATTTGTTACACAAATTTCATGCAAAATTTACACATTTTTGACCACTGTAGAATGAATAAAAATCATCAGAAATTCCTCCAAAATGCCACATTAAGACACCAAGACCATGAGGAACACCATCGAAAAATCTGTGCTGTGATTTGGTATCAAAAACTTGGAAGAGTCATATCATTCAGTGATTGGATGGCGAGCACTGGAGCACTGACTTATTGTCAGTACATCAGTGAAAGCCATCCATCTGATGAATGCCTGAGCTCTTTAGTTTGATATTGTAAAGTTTCATGAGGCTTTGATTATCTAAGAGGTCACAATAGGTCATTTTATGCAGTGATGTCAAGTTCCAAATAATAGCCTCGCAATGAAATGGCTAGTATTGCTAGAAAGCAAGCAGAGAACTAAGGTGTACTAGGAGATGAAGCAATTGATTAGGCAAGCTGGGACTTAACTTAAAAACATCTATCTTACTGCAGGTAGTAAGAGAAATACTCAAACACTAGAGATAAGAGAGAGTGTAGGCTACCTTTAGCAGATCTGTTCTGCTCTCTTGGATTTGGGAAAGTTGATTTAGGGTTTATGTTAGAATGAAAAAAGTCTGATCTCTACATTTTTCCTTACCACACTAATAATACCAGGACTAGGACTTGGGCAAGTGTTGAAGAAGGCAGCTATACAGCTTGCGTAATGCTAATGAAGTGCCACTCTTTTCTCCGAACTTAAACTTAGAGTGACACACTGACCTCAACGGTACCCTGCTAATTAATAATATTCCACTCATTAAGATGTATACCACAGCCCTTGGGACTTGTAAGACAAAGTAATGTGGACTGTAATTAATTAATGTTTTGACCGTTTGACAGGAGAGCTTTAGGGACTATAAGGTCAGCATTAGATATTAAACAAAGTAGCTGTAGTTGGTAACTTTTATAAAAACATAACTTTTTGTCACACAGCATGAAATGAGACAGATAATCTGTGAAAAAAAATCATATTCCTTTTGTTATGACCCAGGTTATTAATTTTTGAGTATTTTCCTTGTGTTGATCTGTGTGATCTTTAAGGTGTTCTCTCTCCCCCTGTCAGTGAGCGCGTTTACATGTACACTAATAAACCGATCATTATGATTTCTGGAGTTACCTGATTATTCAAGTGGTCATGTAAACAGCATAATCCAATAGGCTTTATCAGATAAAAGCCATTATCTGATTATGAGAAATCAGATAAACACATCTAGTTTTTTCCCCAATAGTCAGATTATTCGGTGCATGTATACCCTTTAATCTGGTTTCTTTCGGGTTTTGCTATTTTATACTCCCATTCCACTACATTTTAGAGGGAAATATTGTACTTTCTACTCCACTACGTTAATCTGACAGCTTTTGTTTCCTTTCAGATAAAGATTTTACATAAAATA